TATTTGTGTGTGTATTTATTTGTGTGTTCCAGGGAATCTCTTTATCTGTGTGTATTTATGTGTGTGTCCCAGGGCCCCTTCTCGAGGGCGGCCCTTTTGGGCCCGAGGGCCGTCCCAGGGCTGCTCGGGATGGATCAAGCAGCGGCGAAGCGCCCTGGCGTGCCTACAGCCCTACCAAACAGTGTTCTGAGAAGCTTCTCTTGTGGCTCCCACGAGAAATTATTGGAGCATGTCTGGCTCGGACTGTCTCGATTTATCACATCGGGTTTATGTTCTCAGAACACTGCTTTTGTTCTTAGAACAGATTTGGGTTCTAAGAACATGTCGTGGTAGGACTATAGGAATGCCGGGACGGTCGGTCCCTGCTCAAATGAAAACCTGGCCACAAGGGAAACCCCAGAGAGTTCAATGACCGCTCTCACGGGCAGGACCCTGCCTCGTGCCAGGAAGCTGGGGGGGGCATCCTCCGCTCGAGTGTGGGAGCGGAGGGCTTTCATTGTAGGGGTTCTGCTTCGCCGATTCCGGCCAGCATCGGCAGGTGGGAAGGGGAGGGGCTTCCAGGTCTCCTTGGTCGTCAGATTCCGGATGCTGAGCGTCGCCCCTATCTGCCCCTCCCGAATCCCGCTCAGGGTGCGAAGTTCCAGAGCAGTGCCTGCACTGAGGGGCTGCCATTCCCCAAGCGGCGCTTGCTCTTGGGGCTTCTTGCGGCGGGCTGCTCGGTCATCGGAGGGGCTCGCCGGCGCCTCGCCGCGCTGCCGCCCCGTGCCGGCGCCGCGGGCCCCTCGCGGGCGCCTCGTGGGCGCGCCCCGTGCGCTGCGTGGCTTCGCCGCGGCTGCGCCACGTGGCCGCGTCGCGGCCGCCCCGCGGGCGCCCCGCGGGCCGAGTGGACCTGCCGGCTCTGCGCCACGCTGCTGCCCGTGCCGCGCCGTGAGCGCCTCGGGGGCGTCCCCTGCAGCGGGTGGGCTCGTCGTGGTGGCGCCGCGCTGCCGCCAGGTGCGGCGTCGTGGGCGCCCCGTGCTCTGAGCTGACACGACCAGCATCGCTTGCACCCTGTAGCTGTCACCTCCAGCCCACACCGCGTGGCTGACTCGGCATTCCTCCGGCAGCACGACGTACACCGCATAGTTCCCTCACCCACAGCTCACGCCGCACAGCGTTCACCTCCACGGTGCAAGAACGCCCTGTTTGAGCTCCCGCGCTGGCGGCATGTCCTTCCTGCGTAGTTGGCACGCGTTTCCGGACGTTCTCCTCGGTCGCTACCCTTGGACGCCTTGGGGGCGCCCAGTGGGCACCGCGTGTGTTGGCACGGGCTCTGTCATCATCCTCCTCGTCCTCCTGTTCCGACTCCTGCTCCTCCTCCCCCTCTTTCCCCTCCTCCTCCTCCTCCTCCTCCTCCTCCTCCTCCTCCTCCTCCTCCTCCTCCTCCTCCTCCTCCTCCTCCTCCTCCTCCTCCTCCTCCGCCCCCCACGCGGTTCGCACAACTGAAGGAGGCGCCGCACAGCTTGCCCCACGCGGCCTGCACCGCTCGGCTTGAAGCGCACAGCTTTGGCCACCAGGGTCGCACCACGCAGCTGGCACCACACGTGCTGTTCCGCACAGCTTGCACCACATCGAGTGCACCACACAGCTTGCATCCAGTAGATTGCACCACACTGCCTGCACATCCAGAGTGCAATAACTTTACTCTATTGGCCCACGCTGGCCAACAAGGGTCGTTTCTCAGGGCTAGATCTGGCCATTTCGGAGCCATCTCGATCTGAAGACCAACAGAAGCCAGAAAGTCGCAAAGGCCAAAATCATGATTTGAGCCACTCGGGAAGATGCGAGCGAGCCCAGGGCCCCAGAGCCATCTCGGAGTTTTCTGGGGCCCCTTGGAGCCATGTCGGGGGCCACCTTCTTGGGCTCTCTGACGTGATATTGGAGCCACGCTGTACCCCCTGATGACCTGCGCCCCCGCCGCCCCCCCCCGCCGCCCAGACCCCCGAGAGAGGGTAGAGCGAGGGTCAAACTCCTGCCCGAAGGAGAACACGACTCTGCTCTGGAAGAGCGGAGGTCAGACTCCGCGTAAACCACCCGCTGCGCCTCGAACGCCGGCGGCCTCGGAGCGCAGGGCTCGAGAAAAGGAGGGGGGAGGAGGAGGAGGAGGAGGAGGAGGAGGAGGAGGAGGAGGAGGAGGAGGAGGAGGAGGAGGAGCAGGGGAGGAGGAGGAGGAGCAGGAGGAGGGAGGAGGAGGAGGAAGAGGCAGCCGCCGCCGCCGGCCGGAGAAGGAGGAGGAGGAGGAGGAGGAGGAGGAGGAGGAGGAGGAGGAGGAGGAGGAGGAGGAGGAGGGGAGGAGGAGGAGGAGGAGGAGGAGGAGGAGGAGGAGGGGGAGGAGGAGGAGGAGGAGGAGGAGGAGGAGGAGGAGGAGGAGGAGGAGGGGAGGTTGCCGCGCACGCACGCGCTCGCCCCCCCCCCTCCCGACAGTTGCCGAGGGGGCGCGAGATGATCGACCGGGGGCTCTTCGGATTGGCTTTCGGGTCGTACGCTCGGCTCTCCGGCGGCCGTTCGGGAGGAGCTGGGCAGCTCCAGAACGCTCTCAGCGAGGCGCAGCTGCTGGAGAGCATCCCGAGGCTGGAAGACCCGCCGAGCACCAGCGGAAACGTTGGAAGCCTCGGACCTCGGACCTGCGAGGCGGGGGTTTGACGATACATCACCGTCGCCCGGGGATCGATCTTCGGGGACCTCGGCAGGCGGTGGGCATGGACCATCTCGGGCCCCCCGCGGGCCCGAACGTGTCCGTGTCCACCGCCCGCTGGGGGGTCCAGGATGTCGGTGTCGCAGGAGGCGGATACGGATAGGTAGACCTGTAGCCACAGCCGAATGAGGGAACAGCCATAATTTGGCTGCGGCTCCTGCTCGCACTGCGAGTGGCAGGGTCACTGGCCGCGTGCGCGCCTGAATTCCTGAATTCGCTTTCGCTTATCTATATATATATATATGTATGTATGTATGTGCATACACGTGCGTGCATGTATAATATGTACATGCATGCATCGATTCTTATGTATGTATGAATATACACATATATGTGCAGGTAGGTAGGTAAGTTGGCAGGTAGGTTAATATGTATGTATGTATGCATGTATGCATGTATGACGGTATGCATGTATGCATGTATGTATGTATGCATGTATGCATGCATGTATGCATGTATGTATGTATGTATGGATGTATGTATGTATGTATGCGTGTATACGTGTATGATTATATTTAAGGAGGTATGTATACATGCATGTTTGTATGTATGTATGTATGCATGCATGCATGCATGTATGTATGTATGTATGTATGTATGCGTGTATCTATGTATGTATGTATTTAGGTAGGTATGTATGTATGTATGTATGTATGTACGTATGTGTGTATGGTTTTAGGTAGGTAGGTAGGTAGGTAGGTAGGTAGGTGGGTAGGTAGGTAGGTAGGTAGGTATCGCCGCCGCGCGGGAGCCCGTCGTCGACCCCGGGGGCGGCCGCGCGGCCGGCCCGCCCCGAGGCCGCGGGGCGGCAGCAGCTCGCGGCGCAGCTGAGGGCGCAGGAGGAGCCTGCGGCGGGCGCGGGGAGGCACGCGCAGCACGCGTGCACGCGCACACACACACACACACACCCCTACACACACATTCACACACACACACACACACTCAGCCACACACACACACACGCACACGCACGCAAGCGCGCGCGCGCAAGCACGCACACACACACACACACACACACACACACCCAACGCACGCACGCACGCGCGCGCGCGCGCGCTCGCGCACAACACCACACACACACACACACACACGCACGCACGCACGGCACAACACACACACACACACACACACACACACACACTCAACACACACGCCCCTCCCCACACACACACAACACACACACAACACACACTCACACACACACACCACGCACGCAAGCACGCACAACACAACACACACACAACACACACACACACAACACGCACGCGGCGCGTGCGCACACAACACGCACACACACACTCACGCAGCGTGCACACACACAACACACCACACACACACACACACACCCACACACACACACACAAACACGCACCCCTCCCACAACACACACACACACACACACACTCACACACACTCAGCACACACACACGCACGCACGCACGCACGCACGCACACACACACACACACACACACACACACACACACACACGCGCGCGCGCAAGCACGCACACACACACACACACACACACACACACACACACACACACACACACACACGCACGCACGCACGCACGCACGCACGCACGCCCGCGCACGCACGCACGCACGCACGCACGCACGCACGCACGCACGCACGCACACGCGGCGCGCGCACGCTCATGCACAGGTTCGCACGTGTACACACACACACACACACAGTCGAGATCCGCGATACGTCTACCGCGACGTCGAGATCGCGATACATGTATATACATGCGCATGCGCATCCATGCCCCGCAGACGCGAAGAGCCAGTCCTCGAGTTTAGAACCTTCAGCACTGAAGCTCACGCTTACCGCAGGCCGGGTTCTCTTTTGCAGTGCCTGCGGTTTTTCCCGAAGAGCGTCTCGTTATGAGAGCTCGGGCAATGGCCACCGACTGCTCCCACAGAATTGCCCCGCCAGGGGGTGTCAACCGATCCCAGCGCAGTGGCCAGCGCGGTGGGTTCGGATCAAAAACCCTCCCCCCCCCTGGGGCGGGGGTGGAGGGTCCAAGTGGGGAGGGTCCAAATGTGTGTGTTTGTGGGCCACAGGGAGGAGGGGGGTGGGGGGGGGGTCCACAATAACCACATGCACCCTCCCAGGCCCGTCATTACTTACAGCACTGCTTTGAGCGCTGCAGCGTGACGGCTCACAGCCTGGATGACCCACAGAGGTCGGGGCAGCACATTTGGCGAAGGGAGGAGCATGAGACGGCCAGATTCCATGGCACGAGAGGGAGGGAGGATGAGAAGAAAGGTGATTTATCAGCGACGCAGCGCGAAGGATCATTGACGCACCCGGGACGTGGGAAGAGGCACAGCAGACCGCGGGCCACCGCAGGAGGAGATGCGGCAACAGCGTGAGACGCGCAAGGAGGAGTCGAAGGCTTGGGCAGAGACCGTCAAGAAGGAGATCGTGGTTGGGGCAGGCTCGGGCTTCGGATTCCCCCCCTCGCCACGCCGGGAATGCCGCAAAACGCCTGTCATTGTCTCGCGGGTCGGATATCAAGTTCCTCAGCCGCTTGTTTCTCGTCCGCCCCTCTCGTCCCATCCAGTGTCCGCCCACCTTGCCCTCCGTCGCAGCGATGGAGGTCACGATGCCGTGTTGAACATCTGTCGGGAAAGTATTCTGACGGCATGCATGATCATGTGCAAGCGGTATCACTCTGCCACAGTTGTAAGTGCTTCCTGGCATCGTACGATCGCGTCCGTAGGGTATTGCTACGTCGCGAGGCAGTACTGTGAGATGCTTGTTCTGGCAGCCGATTTCGAGCCGTTCACCTTGCAATGCTGTCTCAGCGCAAGTTGCTTCTACAACGGGTGGAGCGAATGAGTGGATCCGATCGCCAACCAACGTTGAAACGCTGACAGCTCAGATATGATAATTCGAGACCCTTCGAAAAATCAGCATTTTCGATGATGTTGCACTCTACTGGGATATGCTGCATGCTGCCGACAGTGAGCATGTGGCGAACACTCCGCAGATGTTCCACAAGCAGATGGCACGAGTTTGCAATGATGCACGCAAGCATTAAGAAAGAAGGCCCCATTGTTGTCTCAGCAATCTAAGATGAACGATGCAAGCGGCACAAATACAGAAAGGTTCTAGGTAGCACCCCGTAACGAGTTGCCAACACGGGGGCCGCACCCATGCGCATCACATGAGCATCCGCTAAACGGAGAGCAACCGGGTGGAAGGATTCCGCATCGATGCAGTTGGCATGACGCGGTTGTGTATCAAGCAAGGTTTTACGCTTGTGGGGCAGCTGGGTGAATCGCGCATTGGGCCAAACAAGCGACGTCCTTGTTTCAAGGAGCCTTCCCAGACATGCTCGCGTCGTTTAAAAAAGTTCAGGACGGGAGGTTTTTAGCTAGTTTCGACCCTCGGTGGCCCTCGCCGGACCCCGGGACCGTCAAAGACGACTCGGGATGAGAAACCGGTCCCGGGGAAAGGGTCGGCACTTCCAGGGGCGCCGTCCCGAAAAAGTCAGGACGTCGCATGTCTCGGTTGAGATGGGGGTCCGCCAGAGCGCCGATCTTGCAGCATCCTGCAGGGCCAGGGTCGCACTGGCCCAGGCTTGGGCGCAGGACCTTGCAGGATCCTACAGGATCCTGCAAGGCCCGACTGGCCCGGGTCTGGATGGACCCGGGTCAGAAGGTTAAAACGACGCGAAGATCGGGACAAAATCGGATCGGGATAACTCGAAATCTCTGAGAATCGGCGGGTTTGGAGGGTGTATTGGGCGCCGCGGCCGCTCCAGAGCGTTCCGGAACGCTCTGAGAGCGCTCCGGAACGCTCTGGAGCACTGGAGCGATTCATCCCGATCCTGGCCCTGTTTTAAAGGTCCCCGACAGTGAGGGCGAACAGCAAGAGTGAGGAGCTTCCTGAGGTGACCCCCGCATCCTTGCCCCCGCGGCCCACCCTTGGCGGCCGTCGCCGGTCAACCCCGTCAGAGCAGTGCCAGCAGGGCCTTCCAGCGCGCAGCCTCGTGGTGCGCGCTGGCTGTAGAGACGTTCCCATGTGCGGCCCCAGGGGCCCCGACCCCCTTTCCTGGGCCCAGCAGGTCGCCCCCGGCCAGTTCCAAGACTCTAGGCCTCCTGGACGGGGTCGGGGCAGGTGGGGTCGGAGGATCGCCCCGCCTCGCCGATGCATCGACGATGGGGCTCGATGCGGAGCCCGCTTGTCTCCACGCCGACGTCGCCGACGCATCGCCGACGTCGCCGATGCATCCCCGATGCATCGGCGAGGTGTTGGCGATGCGGCGCGGTCCTTCGACCCCATCGGCTCGGACCCCATCCAGGAGGCCTCTGAAGACTGCCCCGGGGGGCCCGACCACGGGCCCGGGAGAGGCCGAAGGCAGGGGGAGGCGCCCGGGCGGAGGAGGAAGCCGCGCGGGCCTCCGAGAGGTTCTGCCGATGCGGGGCCTCTGCTGCTTGAGGCCGGCGGCCAAGTGGGGGTGGTGCCGGTGGCCGTGTCTCGGGGTGGCATCTCGAGGCTCCTCGCAACGGCGGCGCGGATAACGCCGGGGGCGGTCCGTGCCGCCGTTCGCGTTGCGAGGTCCGACTGCATGTGAATTCATGCAGGCACCTTGGGCACCTCCCTTCGGGTTGTGTCGCCCAGGTGTTCTGTCCGGGCACCAAAAAACGATTCTGCCGATGCGTGGTTCGTTCTCCGTCGGAGTATGCAGTGGGGGCGCGCATCAAGAAACCATGTGCTTTTCGTCCGGGTGTCCTGGGTGTCTTCGCTCCTCGCGCTGCGCGGTGACGTCCCGCAGCCGTCGGAGGAGTTGCTGCGTTCAGGGTGCTCCGGGTTTCCCCTCAGGTGCACCTCGCGCACGGGTTCTCAGGGTTGGGCTTCTTGCGAGGGTTTCTTGCGGCCGCGCCCGCACTGTACGCTCTCGGAGTGCATGGCCGATTCACAGGACAGGCCGGCGGGTGTTCACGCGTCTTGTCTCCGTCGCTCCTGCCCCGTTCTCAGGTCAGGTCGGGCATGTTCCCCTTGCAGGCGGAGCTTGGGCGAGAAGTAAAAAACAGGCAGACAATTTCCAAACATGGTTTACAAAAAAAATCGTCCCCAGGCGATTAGTTTGACTCTTTTTGAGTACTCCTCGTGGAGGGACAGGCGGATCTTGGGCGAAAGATACAACCAGTCAAACAGCTTTTTAAAATAGTCAAAAAAGTCGTCCCCTGACGATTGTTGTTTGACTATTTCGTCGGTGTCGGAGCGATCGCGCTGGTTGGGAGGAGGAGGAGGAGGAGGAGGAGGAGGAGGAGGAGGAGGAGGAGGAGGAGGAGGGGGCATTCCTCCTGTGCAGGGACAGGCCCGACCTCATCCTCAGAGGGGGGACAGAGGCTCGGCGGGCAGCGCGTCGGCCCCTGCTGGCCAGCTCTCGTCGCCGGCAGAGGGCCCGGCCGGCCCACCCCGCCCGGGGGAGCGTGCGGCTTCGTCTTTTATCGGGCCGGGGAGGGCCAGGGCCGGGCGAAAGGGGGGGATTGGGAAAGGGGGGGTTACGAAATTTGCTGCATGCAGCTGGTTTCGGCCTCACCGAGGGGCCCGTTCCTCGATACATGGCCGCCTCCCGGCGCCGGGAGGCGCCAGGAAAATCAGCTACGTGAGCTGATTCTCAACCCCCCCCTTTGCTATCCCCCCCTTTCGCCCGACCCGAGATGGCCAGGGCCCCCCCGGAGGTCTTTTACCAGCCTCGAACATATCCCTATCCCTATGCTGGGCACCTCCTCATCACGATGCCAATCCTAGGGATTCCCTTATGTTTTGAGGGCGGATCCCTAAGATTGTCATCGCCTTTTGGCGTGTCAATCTTAGGGATAGGGATACGTTCGAGGCTGGTAGATCTTGGGGTCGCAATCTCTTCACAAAGGGGGGTTCTGCTGAATCTCGGGCCCAGGGACCCTCACGGATCGATTCGGCTCGAAAACGTGCGCAGCAAGATGCGGTCCAGGGCTCTGGGCGTGATTTTTTACGGTGTTGCAGTTTTTCTTGCAACGTCGGATCTCAGGGCCGGTTAAGGGGAGCCGGTTAGTGATTGGGCCCCGAGGTTCAAACATGGACTGGAATCATTCAACCAGGTCTGCCGTAGCTGGTGTTTTTCGGGTGACGGCGGTTCCGGTTGGTGGAATGGGGCGGGGGAAGCGTTCTCCAGTACACATCATTAGACCAGGTCCCACTAAACCCAGTCCTGCCAACGCCCGATCGGGGGCCTATCGCCGATCCAACGGCGATGTGTCGCCGATATTCTATCCCGTGAGCAATTGCCCACCTATCGTTCTTCTTCTTCTTGGCAGATTCTCGGGAGTGTGAGAAAAGGGGGAGACAGGATGAATTGCACAGTGGTTCGCTCATTGCGTCTCATACCTGTTCCCGCCATCGTGGGGCAGGACGTGGCAGCCTACCAGCGCGAGCAGGCGCAGACGAAGGCCGGTGGCCAGAGCTGGAGACAAGGAGGAGGAGGAGGAGGGGGAGGAGGAGGAGGAGGGGGAGGAGGAGGAGGAGGAGGATCCAGCCTTCCCAAAACAGCCTGCGGTCGAGAACTTCTGGCCAGCGCGTGGCGCCGCTGGCTCTGGCCCACCGCGCCTCGGCGCGGCACGCCAACCACACGCCCATTTTCAAGCGTCAACTGATGGGTGTGTTTTCCACCACCACCACCATAGGTTGGAGGGGGAGGGGGTCCTCCTCCTCCTCCTGCTCCTCCTCTTCGTCTTCCTCCTCCTCCTCCTCCTCGTCCTCCTCCTCCCCCCCCTCTGACTTATGGTGGTTGTGGTGGAAGACATGCCCATCATCAACGCCTCGGGCTCTCCCCCGCCGCCCGCCCTGCAGAGCGGAGCGACGCGCCAGTTGCTCCCGGGGCACCGCGCGTCGCCGGGGCCGCCGCCGCGGCTCGCCAGGCAACATCGCTTGCCCGCAGGTCCTCCTATAGTTTTTTTGTTATGGTGTTCTTGCCTACTTTCGCCCTGATCACCAGAAAGAATGTCGAGCACCAAGAAGGCAACGAAACTGGAAGGAGTTCACATGTCGGGCCCTGGGAGGCGATACTCGTTCGACACTCTTCCGATACTTCTCTGGGTGCTCGGAATTATTTGTGGGATGTGGTCCTCAAGTACGGCGGGAGCAACATAATTAAATTTCCCCCAGGCAGCGAAACGCCCCAAGATCCTGCATGATGAAGGGGAACTGGGACACACAAATAAATACACACAAATAAAAATATTCCCCATATTTTCCCATATCTT